CAGTTCCCCAGGGAACCCTCCCAGGCCCCTATGGAAGCCAGAGGTAGAGTGAGGAAGGGACCCCTTAATCCAGGAGCCCAGTCAGCAATGCCCCCCCCACCCAGGGAGCAGGGACGCAGCAGGCATGGGGTGCGGCTAAGTGGGACGTCAGCTTTGTCAGGAGGCCGGGGGGATGCACGTGGGGGTGAGGGGGTGCTGGGAACCGAGACCAGAGGAAAACTGTTCCCCACTCGGGCCGCCAGGGCCCGGCTGGTGTGCTGTGTAGTGTGGCGGTGCAGGCGGGCGCAGGTGGGTGGTGGTGGCCGGGGGAGGGGGCGGGGGCAGTGGGAGCGGAGCTGTCCAGTCCCAGAAGGAAACGGCTCCTCAGTGAGGAAGCAGGTGGCCCGGTCACTGCTCCTCCTCGGAGGACTCCTGCGAGATGCCCTCTTCTTCCTCCTTCTCCTGTGAGGTGGACAGGCAGGGCCATCAGCACGGGGGCCAGGCCTGGCCCTTCTCCTCCTCCACCCCCAGTTGTGGGGGAGGGAACTCAGGCCTGCTGCCCCCACCCCCTCCCTGGCTCTCCAGAAGGGGAATGAGTCAGGGCTGAGTGTGTGGGTGACTCAGCAACCTCCACAGCCCAGTTTCATTCATAAAAAAGGAAGAATTTAAAAGGAGGGAAAAAAACCACACATGCTGCTCTCACAGCCATCCTCCCTTGCCCCGGGGCCCACGGTGGGGGACTGGGCAGAACCCAGAAGAGCAGCACTGACGCTGAAGGAAGTGAGGAGTGACTGGCTGGGGAGGGGAGGCAGCAGCCAGGGAGAGGAAACGGGCAGGGGTGGTGGAGGGTGCAGGGGAGCCAGGTGGTCTTGGCACACAGGGCAGCTGCTGGGCTGCGGGGCAGTGGCCGCAGCCGCAGGCTGACCCCAGGCCAGGGTGGGGAGGAAGGGGAAGTGTGTGGCGCAGGGGCTCACTCACGGGGCGGGAATGTCGGGACACCATGGGCTGCGGCCCCCGTGCCAGGCACAAACTCCAAAACAACTTGTTTCCTGTTACTCACTCCTGGGGCCCAGCCAGCACCCCACCCCCCCGGCCCCCCAGCCCTGGTGGTAGTGGCTCAGCTCGAGGAATGAATGCCTCAGGGAGTTCAGGGAGCAGACTGGGGATAGGGAAGGGCTGGGAACAGGAAGGCTGGGGAGGCTAACTCAGGGGAGCCCCCTAGAGGCAGTCTCCTGACTCGGCAAACCTACTTCCACCACCAGCTCTCTGGGGGCCCAGAAATGAAAGGTGCCTCCAGGTGGGATCACACCTCAGCTCCCTCCCAGCGCTGAGCTCTTTGCTGCTGCTTCCTCCCTGCCCAGGATCAGGGCAAAGGCACACCTCACTCCTTCCCCCTGTGAAGGCCTTTCCTCATTTCTATAATGGGGGACAGTTTAGAGGACCGCCAAGATCCCCCCTAGAAGCAGAGACAGCCTCCACTAGTGCAGGGCAAGGGTCTGTTCTGTACCTGGGACCCCACACTTCTCATGGACACAGCCCTTTAAACGAGGTGCTAGGAGCCGGGCCGGGGCCAAGTGTGGCAGCCACCATCCCTGGCCCAGCAGGTCAGGGAGAGCCGTTTTTCCATGGTGGGTGCACAAGATCAGGTAGGCCTCACCCACTTCTCAGCACCCACCCAGAGGGGCCAAGCCCCCTTCACCTACCAGTTTTTTGGGTCTGCCCCTTGGTTTCCTCCCTGGAGTCGTGGTGGTTTTCTAGATGGCAGAGAAAAAACCCACTAAGTCAAAAACGTCCCCGACAGTGCTCACCCAGTAACGGTGGGAAGCAGAGGACAGAGCTGCCCTCCTCTGCTCAGGGCAGCCCAGGAATCTCACCCCAACCACAGGCCCACCCCAGCTGGTCCAGCTGGTGATGACTGGCTGCCACATTGCCCCCCTCAATATACACACACGCCCCCCACTCCCTCCTCCTCCCCATGACTCAGAGGATATGAGTCGTGTCTTAGAAAAAATAAAATAAAAAACAAAACAACTTCTCTGAAAGCTTGATGCCGCTGGGAAGCTGGCCTTCCCTGCCCCTCACCCCCAGATCCAGGGGACCCCAGGATAGAAGTGACATTTCAGCCCAGGGGCTGGTGGGGCTGCCCCTTCACTGTGCCCAGCTCTCCTTTCTCCAGGCCAGGAATGCTGTCGGACCTGACTTGATTTCCCCATTGTCCCGGGCAGGCCCAAGGTGCAGAAGTGAGACCTCAGTCATCACCCTGCTTTCCCCATTAGCACAGACCCACTGCCCGCCACCACAGCCCAGGCAGAGGGGCGGACTCGGGATGAGCCCCCTCCCTGCCTCCCCCTTCGTGCACCAGGAGGCCACACCGCCCCCAAGCCTCACCCGGGTCTTGGCAGCGCCCTTGTTTTTGCTCCCCTTTGGTCTGCCCCGAGGTCTCTTAGGCGTTGGCACTTCGCTGGGCTCCTTCTGCAAAGACAGAGGCAGTTAGACACAGATACCACCCGTCCCACCCCTTTCAGGCGACGGAGGCCTCTGCCCCACCCCAACCGGGTTTAAGTCTGCGAGCCATCACCTGGGCCCAGAACCCACAATGGCGGGACAAGTGGTTGGGATTCAGCTGTTTGACCACCTTTTGCAAAGGCCCTTCCCTGTGACAAGACCCTGGGAAAGGTGTCCTGGGGGCCGACAGACAGAGGCAGCTCTGCCCCCGACTAATCCCCAAGATCCCGGGGAAGACCCTTAATGCCCGAGCCCCACTTTCCTCCTTTGTAAAGGGTTATCATCAAAATTAAATGAAGGATGTCTCGTCCTGAGCCACAATCACTGCCCACCCTTTCGGGTAATGCATGCCGGGCACTTCTGGGAGGCAGAAGAGCAGAAAGGATGTCTCCCTTGGAGGGAGCCCCCAGCCTCTACTGTAAACTGGCCCCCTCCAGGGTGCCTCCCAGGGAGAAGAAACCCCAGAGATCCCTGCCATTGTTGCCGCTAAAATTTTAATAAGCCCGAGACGGAATAAAAAGCTGCTGCATAATGCATAGAAGCCAGGCAGCAGAGGCAAGCAGCTACGGTTCCCCGTGGGTGGCTTCTAACCGCGGTCCAGTAACCCAACACCCCTTTCTGACCCCCGACCCCACCCCAGTGGGGAGGCCCAGGGAGGCAGACTACAGGGAGGCAGGCTACAAGGGTGAGTCCCCCACACACTAGGCTCTGAAGAGGCAGCTGAATGCCACCACCCAGACTCCTCCTGCCTCACGGCTCCCAGTCCAGATAGACCACTCTCTCCACCTCGCTGCCGGGAAGCTGGGGGCCTGCGTGTGAAGGACTGACCCCGGTCTCCTCTCCTCTCCCTCAGGAAGGGGAAGCCTGGACTTCACCCACTGGCCATGCCTCCGGTGTGCCCCACAGGGCAAGGCTGGCCTTCTTAACCCAGGAGGAGGACAGCACCAGGGTTCACTCTGCCACCAACTCGCCACCATTTTCAACTTCTTAGGCTTCCATTTCCTTTTACAGAGCCAGGGTGAAGCCTAGCTAGGTCCGCTGGCAGTGAGGCCCTGCCCTGGTTACTGGCCCGAGATGAGGAAGTGCAGAAACTGTCAGTAAGGACCCAAAACTTTCATAGCAGCAAATCAACAGCAAGATGTGAGGTGGATCTCATGCTTAAAAACCCTGGGCTCCTCTTTCTCTCATGTTCCCGGAGTTCACCGTTACTGTTCTATAAACACAGGGTCTAGAGCAGGTGGCCCCCCGCAGTGCAGACGCACCTGCGTGAGCAGAGGGACACTGAGGCTTGGTCCGCACTTCTGCTGGGGTCTCAGGAGGGTCTGCGAGTTGGTGAGTGTAGGGTGTGCAGGCATGTGGGGAGGACAAGCAGATGGCAATGATTCTGCACCGCCCCGTTCCTGCTTTCGCCTGCCAAGATGCCTGGTACCTCCCTAGCCCAAAGGGTAAACCGAGGCAAAGATTTGGACACCCACTTGACCCCCTACCAGTGCGGTCCCAGGACTCACCGGAGGCTGCTTTCTCGGCCTGCCCCGCCCTCGCTTCTCAGTGCCGTCCTTTTCCTGCTTGGAGGCCAAGGGCTGGCTGGACTTCGAACTCGACTCGCTCATCTTCCCTTCTCTACGGAGCAGGTGGAGGAGCGATGGCTGAGATGCTGAAGGCAGGAAAAGTGGTTTTAAACAAAACACTGTTTCAGCCACCTCCTACGCCCTCATCCCTCCCACCCTCCAAGTGGACTGCAGCAAAACCGCCCGCTCCCGGGCGCCCACCCTGCTGCTGCCACAGGGAGGAGCTAGGCCCTCTGCCCTAATCACTCCTTATCTCCTATTCAGAAGGGTTCTTTGTTGTCCTGCCACCCCCACAGGGCCAGGGCCCCAGAGGCAGGCAACCCAGACCTGGCCGAGGGGGCGGCTGTCCTGGGCAAAGGTATAGATGAAGTGGGGGGCGGTCTTCACGCCACAGGGGGCAGGAGGGGGGACTCTCTAGCCAGCTTCTGACCTTTCACCGAGCCTGCTCGCAGGGAGCAAGGGAAGAAAGGTAAGCAGAGAAGATGAGCCCGGGCACCTGGCAGCAGAGCTTCAATCCCCTGCACACCTTGCTGACAATATTGTCAAGCTCCAGGTTCAAGACCTAAGGCTACCAGGGCCGACCTTGACACTCCACACCAACCACAAGGCCAGGGCTGGTGCCTGGGCCCCAGCAAGGTCCCTCTCTGCTCTCTCCCAGGGTAAAAGCCTGGGATTCAAAGATGGGGCACAATTTGGGGACTGGGAAGGTGGGTGAACCGCAGTGGGCAAGGCTGGGGGAGGAAAAGGAGCCCACAACTGAAAGGTGGGTCTCCTCTCTCCCTCACCCCCATCCCGCCGACCTGGAATCAGAGATCTTTCCCTTTGATACCTGCTTACAGGAGGGGCTTCTCCAGCTGGGAGGGACCCTTCTAGCTGGCCCTCTGGAGCCCTGGCAGGACTGACCCTAAAAAGCTGCTTGGCCCTTTTTTAGCATGTTCCCTCTCAGAAGCCTCACTATTTGAGTTTGCCCCAAACCTCCCCCCGCAAGGACACCTGCACCCTGTTGCTGGGAGCCCCTCTGAGACATAAAAAGGGCAGTGAGGCCCTGGCCAGGTAGCTCAGCTGGTTAGTGTTGTGCCGATACACCAAGGTGGTGGGTTCCCTCCCCGGTCAGGGCACATACAAGAACCAACCAATGAATGCATAGAATAAGTGGCACAACTAATTGATCTTTCTCTCAAATCAATAATTAAAACACGCAATCCTCCCAGTCGTTATCCCCGAGTTACAGACAAGAGACTTGAATTAGGAAACCCAGGCTCCCCCAGCTCCGTGGGGACCGATTCCTGGCTGCGCTTGGTAAGGGGTGGCTGGGCCCACAGGACTGGCTTCTGAAAGCCCCTCGGCCTGTGAAATGGGGTAAAGGTAAGACATCTGCCTCACCCACCTCTCCAGACCCCTGCAAAGGTCAAACCAGATAGTTTTAAAATGCCTAGACAATGGGAAGTCTTCATTCAAAACGAGAACGAGAACATTTGAAAATGACTTTTCTCTTCAGACAATTTTCAGTGAGAAAAACATGTTGCCAAATTTGTGACTTTTGGGGGGGCCCCGGTC